GTGTTTAGAGCCCTAATTTGCATACAAGAACACAGATAGACAAATACAGGAAATCAGAAATCCAAAACCAAGATGTAAAGCGTACACATATATTTACAGAAGTGGTTCTACAAGAACCAAGAACCAGTTTTAAGCTTATCACTAGAGCATAAAACAAAAACTGTATTTTTATCAGTATTTCAGGTCCACGCTCTGTTATAGCACCACCTTTTGTCCGAACATCATCAAATGTGGAATGCTTCCTCATATCCATACATTGCATAGATGCACCAATTTTTGCCAAATTTGATCACTGCATTCAAGAGTTATGAAACTTTAAGCAAAATTGCTATGGTCATAACCATTCATTAACTTGAAACAGCCATGTTGATTTTGTTTATGCTGAATGGTTTTGACAAAACATGACAAAACACAAAAAAGTATCTTCCGACACTGGTTTTCACTGGACAAAAAAAAAAAAAAGATCTAAGGACTAGTTCATAAAAGTAAAATGAATACAAAATTCAATATGGTAACATAACAGTTTGACTGAAACAAATGGGGCAAAGTTAGAGTCCATTTAATTAATATTAATATTTTGTGAGTTAAACAAATATATAGCCATTTTTATACATCAAAAACACTATTAGCCAACTGGTGGCTATTTTTTTTTTTTATTTAACCTTAACTGAAATCTGATTGGCTGACATAAGAACAGACCAGAAGAGAAGAGTAACAGACCAATGAATCTCCACCAGAAAGATCAATAAAGTCAAGAGGACCAATGACTGAATGAACAAAACCAGACAAGAAAGACTGCAGTTGTGGACAAAGAAGGATGAGAGAGAGAGAGCAGCATGAATGGTAGACGTGTTTAAACCGGATAAAAATACATTCAAGACAGAAATTGATGGATTGATGCAAAGCCAGAGGAAACGAAGAACAGAAAAGAGAAAATAAGAGAAATTTACCAGCTACAAGAGTAGAGAGAGGAGAAATGAACAGAGAACAATATCAAGAAAAAAAGAGAAATTCACCAGCTCCATAAGTAAAGGAATGTGGAATGAAGAGAGAACGAATGCAATCACGTTTATTTTCTTGTTGTATTGGATACAGTCAGTGCAGTTGCTAGGATATTTTGAGTTGTGGCTAGGGGGTCAATCTAAAGTTGCTAGGGTGTTCTAGGTAGTTACTACAATGTTTCTCTGTGATCTTCTAGTTAGTAGATATGGCTGATTTGCTACAGGACGACGCACACACTCAACTTTGATACTTTGTGTTATTTAAACTGGCCCAAGTCTAAGGAATCCAATTCCATGTTGGATCCAATCAGTTATTTCCAGTTAAATATTCTGTTTGACTCTGAAATAAACCACATTATAGAGGATAAATGCTTTGTGAATGTCTAATGTGATTACAGTACCTCAGCTCTTGCCAAAGTTAAGCTGAGAAAACACAAAACCAATACAAACGCGTTCTGGGAAAATGCCTGTTAAGCAGTTTTGCACAAATACTGACATCAAGACTGTTTCTCTTGCAATGGGATTAAAGGTAAAAAAAAAAAATTGCATTTGGGTGAATAAAATTGCTAGGCAACTGCATTTGGGAAGACCAATGTAGCATCTGACTAACTACAATCAAAACCACAAATGTTCATCATCAAATGTAAAAATGCAGTTAAATCCATGTGAAAAACTTATTGTGATAGTGATATACTGGGCAGCTGCTTGAAAGTGTAACCACTTCAGGTTTGTATCCATAGCCACCTGCTTCAAACATTCCAGAGAGGAGAAAAAACGAACACTTGAATCTGCTGAACGCATGACTGGTGTTATAAAGAAAGCAGTCGGATCTGTGATGTAATGTACAGTAGAGCACAGACTACAGAAGACGAGTATTGAAGATGAACTGTCATGAGTGCAGTGATCCAGAAATTTTCTGATCTGTTGAATTAAGTAAAATTAACATTTGACCATGTTGACTATTTTTGGAAAAATAATGTTTTTATTATAATACCTGACATATCTACCCTCTTTTAGAAGAGTAACCAGGGTTAAGAGTCTTGTCACTCTCAGGTCTTTGTGTGACGTTTGAACCTCCTTCTACATGTCCTTTTATTTATTTATTTACTTATTTATCCATCTGTGTGTCTGTATGTCACTCTGTGGAGATACAGTATAGTTGTGTACAGCTACAGCATTGCTAGATGGTTTCTTACTGGCCTCGAGGCAAAAGAGCCCACCAGCTGATCTCTCTGATATTCTGCTCTCTAGATATTTATTTTACAGTTCACAGTACAGATAGATGTAAGAAAGTATTCTGCGTTCTCTCTTCCTGCCCCAAAACACCCCGTAATTCAGCAGTGAATGACGTGACTGATGAAATAACATCAGGAGAGACTGACCTCGTGTTTGGCCTCCGGTTATATTAAGCTCTATCAGATCCGGGCGTTCTACTTTCAGCTGAAGGAGATTTCTGGATGATTATTGCCAGGTGAAAAATACGTAGTATTAAATTTATTAAAAATATACTTGAAATTCAAGTAGTATGTTTATAATACATTTGTATTCCCAACATGCTTATTTGAAGTGCAATAAAAATATATTGAATTGCATTTTAATATATTTCTAAAAAGTATACTAGAAGTACTTTTGTATTAAATATATGCTTAGTTATACTTCTAAGAAATATGCTAAACAGAAGCATGCTTTTAATGTATTTATAAAAAGTATACTAGAAATACTTTGGTAATAAATATATGCTTAGTTACACTTTTAAGGAATATGCTAAACACAAGCATATCTGAAAAAGCAAAATTTAAATATATTTCTTTTTCACCTGGGTTGCCGACTTCACGGGGAGAATCGGTCCGTTTTTTTGTTGAGGTGTTGATAACACTGTAGAGTATGAAAGCACAACATTCAGGTTTGTAAAGTAAAGGTCCTGTAAATTTGTTTCCATAAAGAAATTGATTCATGACAATAAAATATAAACCTTTCAAGACTGATCCAAGATGAGCTGTAAGGGTGTTAAGTGATGATATATGCTTCTGTGTTTAATTTCCAAAGTACTAACATTATTAATGATTAATCGTTTAAAATATAAATATATTTTTAATATTTGCTAAATATATTTTATAGGCCTACTTCAAAATCAGTATCTTAGCTGGTTAGTTTGGCTCATGGCTTGAAACTCTTCAGTGAATAATTTTTAAAAATCCTTATTGAGAAAATGAATGGGGAAAATACTCCTGTAAAATACACTGGTTTAAAGTGTTTAATTGCCAAATTCCTAATGAAGAACTACATTACCCATGATCCTGAAGAGTGATTTGTTACCATTGGAATAGAAATCACAAGGAAAGAGATCAGGAAAGATTGATATTTAATATTAAAATATTTGTTAAAAAATCATGAAAACCATAAAATATTATAAAGTTATAGAATTTGTAAATTTAAACACAAAATTAGTCATTAGTCACGATCTGAAGGATCATGTGACACTGAAGACTGGAGTAATGATGCTGGAAATTCAGCTTTGATCACAGAAATGAATTACATTTGACAAGATATTCACATAGAAAATAGTTATTATAAATTGCAATAATATTTCACAATATTACAGTCAAAAAATAAAAGTGACTTCAAAAACAGGATTCTCTCAGTTAAATGTTATGGTTAGGAATTTAAAAGCAAAACCAAACTTCTGCTTTAAAGAGAGTATCAGCATTTCTGTGGGACGTTTTCCATATTGATGACGCAAGAAGTCTCTACTGTACACAGACGCTGAGTGTGTGATACTGCTGCTCAATTAATCCCAGTTAAATCGAGCACAGCGATCTGACAAAGACATTAATACAAAACTCACCCTACATCCTTCAACTAATCCTAAAGACAATCCTTATCCATGGAGAAGGTTTCAGTGACGATAAACATCCAAACTAGCAGCCTAATTAAAGAAGCGAGAACAAAGGAAAAATAGAGGAGAACAGGAGCATGCCACAGCTGAGATGCTCAAGGAAGCAGTTAAAACATAAATCTCTAAGCCTTTTAAAATCAATGCAGCTAAAAAGAGTCTTGTCTGTGGAGGCCTACAACACAATATTAATGGATTTTTACACACTCTAAAGAAAATGCATGCTTGCCTGTGCATTTTGCATGGTTTAGGGTATTACTAGGTTACTGACCACAGTCTAAAGAGCTCAACTTCAAGTTTCTGGTTCATGTTATTTCGGCAAGCATGGACCACGAAGGTTAATAACAGATCCTCTGTGTGTCAAAAACCTTGCAAGTAAGCTTAAATTAATAGTTCACCCAAAAATGAAAATTTGCTGTTAATTTACTGTACTCACCATCAGGCCATCCAAGATGTAGGTGAGTTTGTTTCTTGAGTAGAAGATTTTTAGCTGAAACTGTGGTCCTTGAGGATTCAGAAAATGCAAGTCAATGGCTACCGCACTGAGAGAGTCAAAAAACGTATGCAGGCAAAACAACATTAATACCTGTAGCTCCTGATGATATATATTGAGGTCTTATGAAGTGAAACGATCGGTCTGTGCAAGAAGCTGAACATTATTTACAACATTATTACCTGTAATCCAGAGCCTCAAGCAAATGGGGAAGTCCGATTCTTTTCCGTTAACTGGTTCTCTAAATAGTTTGTTCATGTCATCACGCAATGACGTAATGTATACACAATTACATTATTAAAGCACCCAATAATGATGTGAAATGTGGATGTTTTTCATACATAAACAATGAGAAACCATAAAAACTTTCATTATGTCCCTTCATTCAAGCTCTCAGTTCACGCATGCACATACTGTATCTGCGGCTCATCGGTCTTCGGCTCAAGTCGAACTATTTCCTCAGTTCAGTGATTGTTGGAGGAACTGGAGCACTGAATCAGTTCATTCATCATAGGATCAGATACGGCGGATACAGACATTTAGAGTCGGAATGACTGTCAGGCGTCCGAAAGTGAGTTTTGATTGAGTAACTTGTAGATCTGTGCTGCTCGAGCCGTGAACTGTTTCAGATGACTCAGTCCGATTTGGTGAACTGGTTCAACTAGTTCACTAAAAAGAATCAGTTCAAAAGAATGATTCGTTTGTGAATCGGACATCACTTCAGACCGTTTGCCTGAGGCTCTGGGTGATAATGTTGTAAATAATGTTCAGTTTCTTGCACAGACCGATCATTTCGCTTCATAATACCTCAATATATCGTCAGGAGCCACGGGAATTAATATTGTGTTACCTTATATGCTTTTTTGTTTCTCAACATGCTGGTAGCCATGGACTTGCATGTTATGAATCGCCAAGGACCACGGTCTCAGCTAAAAATGTTCTTTACTCTTCTACTGAAGAAAAAAGTCACCTATATCTCGGATGTCCCGAGGGTGAGTAAATTAACAGCAAATTTTCATTTTTGAGTGCACTATCGCTTTAAAGCACAGTAAAAATGAGCTAAAAGTGTAAAAAGCGAGTGGCCCTTCGTTTTGCTCTTTTCATCCGCAGATGAAAGAGGGATTCTGGGATAACCGCCGTTACTTAAAACAGTGAAAAGGCCTTTCAAACACGGCGCTTTGAAGAGGAGGGTGAATCAAGAAGATGAATAACAGTAACCGCCGCCGTGCAGCGATTTCCACTGTTTATTTAAACACATGTAAGAAGATGAGAGTCTTCTGGAGATGTCAAATTTATGGATCAAGACAATCTGCATAATTAGGCTCATGAGCACAGTGAGAACTTATCAAAGACATTTCAACATTCTGCCTTATTCCAACTTAAAGCCTGCATTAGAGCTTGGCCTGTGGCTTAACAGTGTATTTAGTGCTGTTTGCTAAGGCAAGAATCATTATTAGTGTTACTCATATTTAGTGTCAGTGATCTAGACAAGAATTAACCTCAAATCAAGACATATCTATAGCGACCAGAAATCACAGAGACATGTGGGTGGGCTCTTTTGACTTTAGCCAATAAGAAACCACCCAGAACGCCCTAGCAATCACATAGCAACGCACTAACAACCAATAAAAAAAACCCATAGCATCGTGCCGGAAAGTTTTGCATCATCAAACATATTTTTTTTCCCCAGAAGATCTGCTATCTATTAACATTTTCACAGAGATCTTCACAGTGCATTCTAGGATTGTTTTAACCATGACGGAAACATGGGCAAAAACAAGGCATATTAGGGATGCACCATTTAGGGTTATTATCGTTAAGTAAAACGAAAATTATTAAAAACATTTGTGATAATTTAAATAAAGATGAAATGAAATCTAAACTATAGATGAAAAACAAACTACACTAAACTGGAAATAAAGGAAATAAAATAAAAGTTAAACAGTTAAAAAATAACATTAAATAAATAAATAAATATATATATAAACATTATAAACATTAAAAGAAATAAAACAAAACAGCTGCAAATTCGACTGGACGCAAATTGTAAAAATCATTCATAAAAAAGTTTGTTGTTGTGGCCCAACAGATAATTTTCTATGTTCACCAAGGCTGCGTTTAGTTGTTCAAAAATACAGTGCAAACAGTAATATTATAATAATATTTCACAATTTAAAATGACTTTCTATTTTTTTTATATTTTAAAACTCTTCAGTGTCACAAAAAAAACAATTCTTATCAATATTAATTATGAAATCAGTTGTGCTGCTTAATATTTTTGTGGAAACCGTAATATATTTTTGTT